CGCCTCGGAAGGACTGGTCCGGAACCCAGAGGACGAAGCGGTGCCCCCTTCTGCTGCGGCAGCTGGGGACTTTCAAGGTTGTAAAGTGGACATGATAACTAGGCAGGGGGCACGGCGCGCGAGGGCGAGAGCGCGCTGGGCATGCATTCGACAAGCGCGCTCCACTACTCGCAAAGTAGCTACTCGCAAAAAAGTGTATGCTGATGTGATTTTTGCTTCTCTATACAAAAACAAGCTTTTAGACGTTTGCGAGTAGGCACTTTGCAAGTAGTGGAACTCGCTCGGTGATGCACGGCCCCGAGTGGCCATGGGCATGCCGGGGCGCGCGGCACGGCGCGCGGCAAGGCTGGCGGCATGCCGCGCGGTGCAGCAGGCGGGCGCACTCCTGGCAGCTTCCACCGCCGTGCCCCCTTGGGGCACGAGCTGGGGTGGCCTCGGGCCCTTGCCCTGATCCCTGGAGCCTCAGTCCTCGACCCTGAGGATTCTGTGAGGGGTCCGGGCCCAAAACTGCCAAGTCTCTCGGGGCGCGTCGCGTCCTGCCTCGTTCAGACCCCAGAGGGCCACAAGACGGGCCCAGAGGGCCAAGCAAGCCTCCAAGACGGTCTAAGAGGGCCCCGAATCGCTGAGCGGTGGGTCCAAAATGCCCAAGATGGCCTGCGGTCGGCCGTAAAAGTCCCCAAGACGTCCCAACAGGCTTCCAAGAGCCTGTCCAAGAGGGCCCCGAGAGTCCCAAAGCATTGGTTCCCGTGTAGCTGTGCAATGGTTCTGGGGTGCTCCGCTGCTCGAGCTTCCGACGCTCCCAGACGGCCCAAGAGGCCCCCAAAGCCTCCCCGAGTCGGCTTCAGAGGCCCCCAAGAGAGGCCCCAAGACAACCTCACGACAGCCCAACAAGCGCCCAAGACGGCCCAAGATGGCCCCAAGACGGCCCCAAGGGAGGTCTGAGAGGGGGAACGCGAGCCGAAAATCCAAGCCTTCCGCCCCGAGGGGCACCCAGGAGGCCCAAGGAGCCCCCAAGAGCCCCAAGAGGTCCCCAAAAGAGGCCCCAAAACGGCCCCCCAGAGGCTTCAAACTGCCTCCAGGAGGCCCCCGGAGAGGCCCCCCACGAGATCCCATCGAACACCCAAAAGGCCTCTCACCCACAACCCAAGCACACTGGCGGGGTGGGTCGATGGCCATTCGACCTGCTCGTTTCGGGGACGGAAAGCGCGTGTATTCCGTGAGGGCGCGCGATCGCTTACTTAGTGTCTTGAAGCGTGTTACGGTTTTGGTGCGGCATACAAACATCCAGCAAAAAAAACCTGCGAACCTCAATGCCTATTGCTTTTCTGGGCATTCCTGGGGGTCACTGTAGGGCTCTTTCGGACGTCTTGCGGCCCTCTTGGGCCGTCATTAAGCCCTTTTAAACAAGTTTTGCTAGGCTCGGGCCGTCGTGGGGCCCTGTTGTGGCTCTTGAGGCCCTCTTGGGGCCCTCTTGGGGACCTCCAGAGGCACTCTCAGGGCCCTCTTGGGAACCACTCGGGCTGGAGCATTGAGGGCCTCTTGGGCCGTCTTGGGGCGGTCTCGGAGGCCTCCCGGGCCGTCCGAAACGGTGTGAACACGAAAAAACGAAGGTGCCAAAAATGCACGTCTCCCCTGGGTAGTGGGACGATCCTTGCCTGCTCCACCCCTGGTGGGAGGGGCGGCGCCCGCGCAGCCCGCCTCCATCCTCCTCTTCTTGCCGAGCCTCTCCTCAACTTCCATCTCCATGATCTGCATACGGTCAAGTCGGGCGTGTCCCCCTACAGGGGGATTTTCGACGAAAACATAAATACTCAAAAAGTACTCCAAAATGGTCAAAAAATCTTACAGAAATAGTCCCCTGATTATTTGTTGCTATTTTTGGAGATTCCCCCTGTAGAGGGACAGGCCCATACGGGCGAGCCGTGCCTGCACCTCCTCGGAGCGCGCCGACGTCGTCTCCTTCGCCTGCCTGAGCTGCTCCTTAAGTTTTTCTTGAACTCACGCCTTTCCGGTCTCTCTATATCCATGGTGACGATGGACTCGAACAAGTTGGCGGCGCGCAGAGGGGGGTAGGGGGAGGGGGGAAGGCTTCTTAGAAGCACCCTGCTTCTTAGAAGGCCTCGGCCTTACATCTATAGAGAAGGCCCGCGCCTTCTAAGAAGCAGGGGTGCTTCTGAGAAGCCTTCCCCCCTCCCCCTACCCCCCTCTGCGCGTTGCCGAACAAGGACGTGTCCCACGTGACGTCGAACATGTCCTTCTTGGCCCGGGAGCAGGGGCTGTCGACCTGGAGGCCCGTCGCCTACTCTAGCGCCTTCACGGAAATCTGCCTCGCCAGCGCCGCCTGCGCCACGGCATGAGCTGTCGCCTTCTCGCTGGTCTCGGTGTCGAACAAACTCTCTCGGCAACGTATGGCATGTTGAACTGCTTGGGCATGCTTGGCGTCCGCATCATGCCAAGCCCCCATCAGGTTTCCGAGCGGCCTCGGATGGCTGAACGGAGGCGGGCGCCGACGCGGACGACTGCTGAGACACCAACGGCGCACGCTGTGCCACGAGCACCTGCTTGACGGAAGCATTTGTGGTAACTGCGATCGTCTGGTCGAGCAGCTTGGCTGCGTTCGACTCGGTGACGTTCCCACCTTTGCAGCTCTTCTTGCCGCTCTTGCATCACCCTGCCACCAGGTGCATGTCCTCACCTTGCGACTGCTGACCTTTCCCCTCGGCTTGTAGAGGGCGACGGATCGGCGGCAGCGCCGACACTTCCCGCCTTCCTTCACCAAGACGTGATTCCACTGATCATTGTCACAGCCCTTGCAAGTGGACCACGCCTTTGGGCCAGGACCTGCCATGTCTGAGAAACTGAACGACATGCCTCGCTTTCTTCAAAACGAACGCCTGCGCACTGGGCGAAGGAGGCGTGTTGGACCCCAAGCACCACGTGACGGCGCGAGGCCTGGCCGAGTGGGCGCGCACGAAGTGCGAGGGAGCGTGTGAGTGAGAGGGACCCTCCGATAACCCCCTGCCCCCGCTCGTGCCAGACTTGGCTCGAGGGCCGGGTGGTGGTGGTGGGACAATGCCGTGGGCGAGTGCCGTGGTCTGCTGATGCAACATGCTGCTGCATGATGCGAGAGAAGTGGGCCCCGGCGGAAGGACGGCTACATGCTGCTACATGATGCGAGAGAGGAGGGCCAGGAAGGAGGAGGGAGGAGGAGGGCGGCGGAGCTCTGCAGGTGCACGAGCCTGACCTGTGCGAAAATCTAGCACCGGAAACGCAGCTCTCAAGTGCCCAGAGTGCGCTACATCAGCGGTGCAATCGCACGGCGGGGGGAGCTCAGGCGCGCCACAGCTGTCCCAGAACGGAGACATCCCCGGCGCTGGGCCACGCCTCACGCTCGACAGAACCAGACTGGGAGGCCTCCCTGGACTCCGAGGCGGAGAGGAGGAGGCTGGCGGGAGAGGCTCGGCCCCGGAGCTGGGCGGGAGCAGCGAGCCAGGCGGTCTGCGGCCCGAGGCCCCCGCCTCTCCGCGCCCCCGGGCGAGCCGCAGCCGCCGGGGCCGGAGCTCATCATGGGCCGGGGGCCGCCTCCTGTGGGCGGCTGCACGCAGGAGTGACCGCCGCCGCCGTCGTCGTCGTCGTCGTCGTCGCCGTCGTCGCTGCGCCGTCGTCGTCGTCGTCGTCGTCGTCGTCGTCGCCGCCGCCGCCGCCGTCGTCGTCGTCCCCAGGGCCGGCTCTTCACGCCCCCCATTCGACAACAGGCAAGACTGACACCGGGTAAAGGTGACCTTTGGCGCGCGGCTTCTGGGGGGGCCGCGGGGGGACCGAGCACAAGCGCGCATGACGCTACCATCGCATCGCGTTCGGCGATCGGGGAACCCCAGTGGGCCCGCACGAAAGGTCACTCCGTCGAAGGGTCACTCCTACGCGTAGTCGATGCGGTCGGACAGTCATCCCAGTGGACCCCCTCGGGTCATGAAAAAAAGCAATCGCGACGGGATTAGTTTCGCTATTTTCGGCCTCCTGGGGACCCTTGCGTGGCCTCGGGGCCGTTCAAAACGACCTGGGATGAGAAGCTGGTCCCGGGGAATGGTCGAGACCTCTGGGGGTCGACGTCCTGAAAAAATCATGACGTCGGCGGTCTGGATTACCAGAACGGTACCCCCTGCACCGTACCATGTTTGGGCTACCTTCAGGCCCCGCTCAAACGCGGTACGGTGCACAGTTTGTCGTCTCTGAGGGGCCGAAAGAGGATGCACCGTGCCACTCCTCGGTCGAGGATCGACGACGCCTCAGAAGACGCCAGCGCGGTACGGTGCACGCACGTCGTCCGCGGAAGTCTGCTTTGCCCGAGCGTCCCACCCCCTGCAGGAGAGAGAGCGGCGGTCAGTTAGCACGTAAGGGAGAAGGGTCCTGGACCCCGAGGCATTCCCCAGGACGAGCTCTTCATCCTGAGTCCCTTCCCAAGTGTCCCGGGGCCCGTGGAAGGCCCCGAGGGCCCGAAAACAGAGCAAACCTCGGGACCCCTTCCCGCAGGACCCGTTTAGCCCACCTGGCGACGGCCACAGCTCATCCAGAGGGAAGGCGAGTCTGGCCGGGCGACTGCCAGGGCCGCTCTCTCGCCCCGCCGGCGGGGACGGGGCGTGCAGACGGGCGGCTCGGCACGCGGGCGCCGCGAGCTGCTGACGGCTGTGCTCTTGCTGGGTCCATCTCGTGTGTCTGGCCAGGCCCCTCGTGCACCGCGGCCTAATTCGCGCTCGTTTATCCTACCAAAGCCCTATGCGCCAGCGCAGTCCTCCTCCTCCTCCTCCTCCTCCTCCTCCTCCTCCTCCTCCTCCTCCTCCTCCTCTTCTGCCTAGCCGCCGACGCAGAGTGTGCCGGGCTAACCCCTGCCGACTGCGCCTTCCCGCCAGGCAGGCGCAAGAGTACCCCTCCGCTCGCACGGACGGCGGTCGGACAGCTCGGGGAGGGGGGACGAGCAGGGACTGGCAGGATGGACGGGGATCTTCTTGCGGGTGGACCTCTCAGGCTCTCCGCCGCCTCTGGCGGTATGCGTGGCGAGCAGGAGCACAGCAAAGCCACAGGAAGCGCGACACACCGCCAGAGGCGGCGGAGAGCTCGAGAAAACGCACGGACGGCGGTCGGACAGTTCGGGGGGGGACGAGCAGGGACTGGGAGGATGGACGGGGATCGAGGATCCAGGCTCTTGGGCGTTCTATGGCCTGCAGGCCTTCGAGAGCCTCTGGAGGCCCCCGGGGATCTCAAGGGAGGAGCTGCGCGGGGGAGCTCTTGTGCAACACTTGTACCAGGGAGCCGAAGGGGGGGTCTCTTGGGAGATCGGGCTCCCGCTGGAGCGACCGAACACCGAGCAGACCCTGATTGGACCCAATGGCTTCCACCCAGCCAGCACTGCGACCTCAGATCGAGCTACACGGGGGGGAACGAACAAAGGGTAGCCCACCTGGACCCCATGCACAACCAGCCCCGCCAGAGCCGCACTTGGAGATGCCGATGGGAGGGCACAATGCGTGAGGCGATCCCTGGCTTAGGCACACGGACACTTTGCGGCCACGCCCACTAAGGCATCAGGTTGAGATCCCGATCGGAGAATGGTATGCACGAGGGGAGGCTCAGTCTAGGCTCACACTAGGTGTGAATGTGGTGTCCTGGCAAGTGCAAATGCATGCGCGATGCCATGCGACATGTGAACATCGTGCGCGCCTATGCCACCACAAGTTGCAGCTAGGAATGTTCTACGCACGGCCGACTCGATCGAAGGCGGTAACATTTTTCCCCAAACAGTGCTTGCACTTTGAGGCTCTTATTTGTTTTCCAAGGAACTGGGCCTGCGCGTCGGTCTGGCGGTTATGCGGTCGCTTTGTGGTCGCCGTCGCCGCCCCGTCGCCGCCTGGTCGCCCCCCGTTGTCTGGGCCTGCGCGTCGGTATGGCGGCTATTCGGTCGCCGTCGCCGCCCCGTAACCGCCTCGTCGCCGCCGGTCGTCTTGGCCTCCGCGTCGGGTCCGCCGCCTTGTTGTCGCCGTCGCCGCCCCGTCGCCGCCTCGTCGCCGCCGGTCGTCTGCGCTCCAATGTCGGATCCGCCGCCCTGTTGTCGCCGTCGCCGCCCCGTCGCCGCCTCGTCATAGCCAGTTACTTTGTATTGCACTGCTTTGTTTGCATTGATTTTGCACCACATGGATTGCACAACATGGACTGCAGCACCCAGATTGCGCTGCATGTGTTGCAAGAAATCACGGTTTGGGGCTCACGCTGGCCAGCGTATTGAAAGTACTCTGGCGATTCGACTTCGGAACTTATCCACAAAATCCTGTGGAGTTCCCAGGGTCGCCTCGTCCACACTGTTCAACCGGGGCTCAAAAGAAAGTGTTCTGATCGCTGCACTGGCATAATTCGCCCACAAAAGGTGGGTGGGCAGCCAGGTTCACTAGCAAACTCGACCCTTCGCTGAGTTTCTCGAGCGCTGCACTGCACGCGCTCGGGAACATAGCTTCCATCTGGGACCAGGAGAAGACCTCGTGTCTGAAACTCGTCGCCATTGGGATTCGCACCAAAGACTATGCGATCGCGACCGCTGATAAATCAGTTGGGCGGCCCCCCCTCAGACCCCCGACATCGTGATTTTTTCGCAACGTCGACCCCGCGAGGTCTGGACCCCTTCCCGGGGACCGGTTTGTCATCCTGAGTCGTCTTCTGACGGTCCCGAGGCCCAGTGAGGGCACTCAGAGGCCGAAAATAGCGAAAAACCTTCCGTCGAGATGTTTTCACAACGCGAGGGGGTCTGGGCTTCTGGGAGGGGGTGGGATGAATTGTGGCACATGGCTCATCTTGAGCCCACGGGCGCTACGCAGCCGCGCCCATTCGGGTCGCAGCTAGGGCTTCCTGGCGGGGAGGGGGCGCTCTTGCGCTCGGATTATCTGGGCGGCTGCATAGCGCCCAACTGCCCAACTGGCACCCGCCAGGGCCTCTGGCAGACGGATGTGTGAGGGACTCTCAAAGCCCCGCAAAGCTGCGAGAGGCAAAGTAAATCCGCCAGTCTGGGCTGCGAGCTCGATCAGAGGGTCCAGAACACAGCTCGAAAAGAGCACTTCCACGAGAAAACCAGGGTACTGCGCTTCAGATCTGCCTTGCCTACTCTGCAGGGAGCTGCCTCCAAAGTTCCGAGGGGGTCTGACTCCAAGTCGCTGATGGGATCGCTGCTTCCAAAATCCTGGGGGGGGGTAACATCCAGTCCCGGTGGGGCTGGGACGGGGCTGCCTCCAAAGTCCTGGGGAGGGAGGGCTGCACCATGAAGGCCACGGGGGGCGCCAGAGGGCGGAGAGGAGAGGAGGGGGGAGCAGGCGCCGGGAGGAGGAGATTACCTCCCAAGAAACACGTTCGCAAGAGGTCGCACCCACGTGGACGCGAGCGGGCACGTACAGCCCCCTGGGCCGACACCCCCCTGAGAGGCCCGAGAGTGATGCCTGCTGCGTGGCGGTGATGCTGGGGCTCTGGAGAAGAGCATGTCCACCTCCCGAAACAAGATTATGCCTGAGATGCCCGCCAGTCTGCGAACGGACCCGTGAGAACTCCTGGTCGACACCCCGAGCTGAACGGAACCGCCACTCTGGGCGCGGGCGGACCCGTCCACAGTTTGGGGAGGGTCGAGTGCTGATCTCGCGCCTGGATAAACGCGCCCCCATCGTGCCCCCGAGTTAAAGCACAGTGCAGGCGAAGTGGCTTCGCTATCTGGAGGTCTGCGCTCACGCACAACTGAAGTACAACAGAAGAGTGTAATCAGAGTTCTTCCTTGTCCTCCTCCTCCTCCTCCTCCTCCTCCTCCTCCTCCTCAGCTGTTCCCCCTCCTCATCCTGCTCCTCCTCTCATCCTCCTCATCATCATCCTCATCCTCCTCATCATCATCAGCATCCTCCAATCCTTGTCCTTATGCATTATTTCTCCCTGTCGCACCATCATCATCATCATCATCATCATCATCATCATCATGAGCAGCAGCATCATCATCATCACCACCACCATCATCATCAGCAGCATCATCAGCATCATCATCATGATCAGTATGATCATCATCATCATAATCAACATCATCATCATCATAATAATCATCATCATCACCCATCATCATCATCATCATCATCATCATCATCATCATCATCATCATCATCATCATCATCATCGTCGTCGTCATCATCATCATCAGCATCAGCATCACCATCCTCATCATCAGCAGCATCAGCATCATCAGCATCAGCATCATCAGCATCATCATGATCATCAGCATCAGCATCAGCATAATTAGCATCAGCATCGTCATCATCATCATCAGCAGCAGCATCATCTTCATCACCATCATCATCAGCCTCAGGATCATCAGCAGCATCCGCATCATCATCCCCATGGTAAACAATGTCATCGTCATTATCATCATCAGCAGCAGCACCATCATCATCAGCAGCACCATCATCAGCAGCAACAGCATCATTAGTTCCATCGTAATTAGCATAATCATCAGCAGCAGCATCATCATCGTCATCGTCATCGTCATTATCATCGTAATCGGCATCGTTATCGTCATCATAATCATCGTCATCATCAGCATCATCATCGTCACCATCATCAACATCATCATCAGCAGCATCAGCTTCGTCGCCGTCATCATCATCCTGATCAACATCGTCATCATCAGCATCAGCATCCTCATCCTCATCCTGATCATCAGCATCATCATCATCGAAGTCATCATCATCATGATTATCATGATCATCACCATCATCATCAACATCATCATCATCCATCATCATCACCATCACCATCCTCATCATCAGCAGCATCAGCATCATCATCATCAGCATCATCAGCATCATCAGCATCATCATGATCATCAGCATCAGCATCAGCATAATCAGCATCAGCATCGTCATCATCAACAGCAGCAGCATCATCTTCATCACCATCATCATCAGCCTCATGATCATCAGCAGCATCCGCATCATCATCCCCATCGTCATCATTGTCATCGTCATTATCATCATCAGCAGCAACACCATCATCAGCAGCAGCACCATCATCATCAGCATCAGCATCAGCATCAGCATCATCATAATCATCAGCACCATCATCATCAGCAATAGCATCATAGGTTTCATCATAATTAGCATCATCATCATCATCAGCAGCAGCATCATCAGCGTCATCGTCATCGTCTTTATCATCGTAATCGGCATCGTTATCGTCATCCTCATCATCGTCATCATCAGCATCATCATCGTCAACATCATCATCATCAGCAGCATCAGCTTCGTCGCCGTCATTATCATCTTGATCAACATCGCCATCATCAGCATCAGCATCATCATCCTCATCCTCATCATCAGCACCGTCATCAGCACCATCAGCATCAGCATCAGCATCAGCATCAGCATCATCATCATGAGCACCATCATCATCGTTAGCATCGTCATCATCATCATCAGCATCATCACCATCATCATCATCGTCGTCATCATCAGCATCCCCATCATGTTCCTCCTCCTCCTAAGGAGAGGGCATGAAAAGTACAAAAGGTCAGAACGATGTCATGAAACCAGATCTAGGAAAGCCTTCCATCTAGTTCCCTCTCGCTCCTAACCCATTCCCCTGCCCTTCCTCCCCCCCCCTCCCCTGCACCACCCAGTCGAATACTTCCATTGTTCCTCCCCCATCTTCTCTGGAGATCTGCCCCAAAAAGGCCCAACAACGCATGGAAAAAAACAATCCTCCTGCCCCTCGTCCCTCACGCCTCCTCGCCTCCGCTCCGCCGGCCCCCCGCGCGCACGCACGCGCGTCGCTCCCCGCCTCCCGCTGACCGAAGGTCCTTGAGGCAGCATGCCCGGCTGCTGGAAGCCAGCCATGCTGGTGACCGTCGGGCGGCCGCAGAGTGGGAGGGCTGCGCCAAAAGCGTCCAGAGTCAGGCTACGACTTCCATGCCCAAGTGCCCTGCGGGCGACCTCGA